TTTCAATTGCTCAATGAATGGCCTAATTTGCCATGCCAGACATGTAGAAATATTGTAGAAAAAGTTACAGATACACAACTGATTTTAACGATGTCTTCACAAAAAAAACCTTTATATCTCAGCAGTTATAAGAGCTAGAAACTTATAGTTTTCAGCAAAGTCGTTCACAGTCATGTTCATTACAGCTTTGCCTAGCAAAATTATTTTGTATCTTATTATATTGAAAAAATAAATTTTGCATCTCACTTTTAGGTGGATTAATCTTTAATTTTCTGTTACCATAAGAAGGAGTGTTGTAACCCAAGAAACTTCTCAGAAGACACCTAGTACCTTTAATCAACCATTTCAGCGTAAATAAAAAAGCACGTGTTTTGATACCCTTGGAACCACTGTGCGCTACTGACAATCAAAGGTGGAACTTTGAAGCACAAGTGTTAGTGAGACCAAAGAAGAATACTAAGATGAAACTGTCAGGAGAAAAAAACATTATATTTTAGTGTCCTCTTTCTCGACCCCTTTCATCCAATGAATACCCCCCGTATGCAAGGTGTATTTGTGGTTATGCTGCACCCTCGGGAGAGTTGAAATTTTGCGCTTTTTTAATAAAAACAATCACACCCAAAATGAGAGATGTCCTATTTTTCCTCCAATGGGAGAGCAAAATTAGTTTGAAACTATGGGTGATGATCCTCTGGAGAATTTAATGCAAGGGGTTAGTCACTCAGCACAATGTGCCGAAAATAGATTCGGAACAGTTAGGGCATATTTATCGGCACATTATAATTAAAATAAACTGGAAGCTTACAAGGGTTACTGAAATTGCGTGGATCGAATTCTTTTCGTTAAAAATTTTTAAACAGTAAAACAGTATTAATTAATTAAAAAGGATCATTCCAATAAAGATGGGGTAAGTAACTGAGAAAAAATAGTTTTCTTCAAATAATATCATATGTTTCTGCGTCTCCATCGGGTTAAGATTTTTTTTTCTGGAGTAAGCTGGAGGAAGAGTACGGTGCGACAAACTTCCACGTCACATAAACTCAAAATCTTCGCTAACCACTCGTTCTTCCACATTCGGATATGCCCAGAATGCCTTCGACAGGGCCAAATACGAACCAAATACCCATTCGCTCTAGGGGCTGTCCACATTCCACGTGGATAAGTATTGAGAGGTTTAAGACACTAACCGCTGTCAATGTGGTAGCCCCCTATTAAATTTAACGTTAACCCCGGCACGTTTTATCCTTTGCAACTCACTGGTATTTTAAGGATTGTGATCGATCGAAAGTACATCAAGCTTCCTGTTCATACACATGATCGACCGTGAATCCCTAGCATTCGCACAATTTATCGTTCATTACCATAACGGCAACCACCGTCGATCCGGCTATCCGATCATTCAGCATAACCTCGTAAATGTCCAAAAAGACACGTTGCAGAGCCATCTTCACAGCGTCCCCGTACTCCGACCGTCTCGTCACAAACGTGTGCAGGTGCTTTCCAGGCATACTGGACATCACCGTGACCATGGATAGATCATCCTGTAGCGAGAAATCCACGGGATCCTACCTTGTAGTAGCCGTACTGGCAGAAGATATGGAGAGGTAATTCTCCTTCAGCGACTTTCAATAAAAATACACGGATAAGCTTATCAGAGATCAGAGCCAATAATCAGAATGAATAAACCTGGTGAACTTCGGTACGTACGATTATAGAAAAAAAAAACGTTCCACTTCCTTGACGAGATTCAAGGCCGACGTTTTCCACCACAGGACCAAATCTCTAAGCGAATTTGTACTTAGTACATAAACAGCTGTCAGAATCATCCTTACGGAAGCACTGTTGCCAGACATACCAGATCAATTTGTACTTGAACACTCATACACTTCAAAGGCACAAATATACTCGTTTGGCACAGTACCGGCAACAGCGTTTATACAAAAGCAGCTGTGCTGAGTGACTGACTCCTTGAGTAAATGCTTATATCGGCATGATATAACCGATGGTTCGTTAATCGATTGATCGATTATTCCAATGAAAATTGGACATCACTAGATGAATGTGAAACGTCATTTCATAAATAATGAGACAAATTGAAAGGGGCCGGGGATAATCACAAATTACGCTCCCATGGTTGACGGTTGGTAGACTGCTCATTAACAGTGACTGTGTGTGTGTGACCTAATGTCACCGAAACGAATAATCATTTTGCTCTACAAAATTTCACGGCAATTTGTATCCTAATCACAGCAAATCAGTGGTTTTCCAACTCCAAACCGAAAAACTTGTCATGGTGGATCAAGTAGAGGATTGAAACACGGATCGATACCTAGGAATTGGCGGCTTCCACCTCCGTTGAGTGAACTACCGTCATTCGAAAGCTGCTGAAAATTCAAGGATTCATAAAGAAGTAAGATCCGGTAACTACGTCGCGATCCAAAAACAGTACGTATTGGTTAAGAATATATTTCAATTTTAAATGTTGTCAGAACATGAAACCACCGGATAGTGATCCTCTGTATGCTTTAACAATTCTTGGAATGGACCGATTAGTCAATGACATGAAAATGGTCAGCGAGTACTGTGCCAAGTTGCCGAGCGTCACAACTTAACTCCCCCCGGTGTGGCCAGGTGCCAAAGCCATGCGGAACGGGCATGCATTTTACTAATGCACCATACAAATGCCCATAAATGCATCACTAAACAACTTAGGGAAAAGTGGAAGATAATTGTGAGCTAGCAACTTAATGATCGAAGGTCCCACCATCATTGTGAAAGGTATCATTGCCATAGTTTTAATTTTCAAAACAAATTTACTTACGCATCTGTTCAATTTCAGCTGGAATTTTACTCGTTGTCAGCATAAAGCAAAGAAAGAAACGTTTCACTTTTTACGACAATCATAACAAAATCAATAATTGACAGCTATTTATTTCTACCTATGTGGGTGAATTCACCCCATCATACACAGGTTCCACTTTTGCTCAGAAGAGGCCTTGCCGTTACTGTCTCCTGATTTTTGGCGGAGTTGTCAGTCTTCTTGATTTATAGTCTTCGCTTTTCCATACATTGCAATGGCAATCCGAAAAATATTGCTTCTCGCACCATCTAGCGTTGAAAAACGTCAGCAACGTTCATCCAATTACAATCAAGAAGAACGCATATGGCGCTGGAAGAACTCATGTTCTTAATTTGGTGCAACCGAAAATTGCAAGTGTGTGTATCAGTGACATTTGGACTGGCATCTCTGCTCTTCTAAAGTGCATCGTATGCACTTTCTTCCCTGTGCGCACACTGGGGCCGTGCTGTGGCCACAATTCGCAAAATTGAGACACAGCGTAGGAGTAAGTTTGAACATTTTTTGGTGCCGTGACCAGGATAAACGGTCGGTGGACACTACGGGACCGCCATTATTCCAGTCCGGAACAATAGAAGACCGGCTGAACGCGCCATTGCTGGTCGAAAGCTCGCTCAATCAGATTCCAGCACCTGTCTCGAAGGTTCGAGAACGCGATTGCCGCCATCCTTGATTGGGGCACACCACGTTGGCCATCCGGCGCCATCTTCGAGCTGTTTCATTGTGTGGATCACAATACAGGTCCGCTACTGTTCTTCGGTGGACAATTGAGGCTTTCTTCTGGAGCATTCTTCAGCCAAGCCACGCATTTTCTACATCGCTACGCACGTGCATCAAGCATACAGTTGCGTATTCATCGCATCGATTTTCATCTCGGCGGCTGTTTCGTCGAATACCTGAAGATTTTGATTAAATCAAGGCACGCTAAGCCTTGGACTAGGTGAGTACCTTTCCAAGCAAATATCTCTCTCTCTCCGGGTCTACCGTGGTCTTCTTTTTGACTAGTGCTCGTCATTCTTGGCTACATCCCGTTGGAGTTGGATTCGTCGCTGCACTATGGAAGAACCCAGGAGCAACAACAAAGCGCTGTTTTCACGGAGGGAGAGTCTTCTCGCTGCTCTGGGTCGGGCTGAGGCTTTTCTTGAGGCCTACGATGCTGCGAGGGACGCAAGGCAGGTTCAGATTCGGCTGGAACACATAGAAAACCTTTTTTGCTAGGTTGGAGGACGTGCAGACGGAGCTGGAGTCCATCGAGCAGGACGAACAAGGTAAGCGAATGCATGAGGAGGTACGTACTGCCTTTGAAGAGAGGCTGTTCGCAATAAAAGCCGATCTAACATCTAAACTTCCTGTTCTTTCTAATGACGCTCGAATCCCTCCACCTATTGGCCATAATTCCGCTCTCTCTGGGTTAAAGCTGCCCACAATTTCACTCCCCGAGTTCGATGGGGACTATATGCAGTGGTCGGGTTTCCATGACACGTTCTTGGCTTTAATTCACGCAAATCCCGACGTGCCAGAAATTCCGAAGTTTCATTATTTGAAAGCCGCAGTGAAAGGGGAAGCTGCACAGCTAATTGAAACGATCGCAATCAGTGCAGCGAACTACAACTTGGCTTGGGATACTTTGGTAAAGCGCTATGCGAACGATTATCTTTTGAAGAAGTGACATTTGCAGGCACTCTTCGATATTCAGCGCATGAAGAAGGAGACAGCATCGACACTGCACGCCTTGGTGGACGAGTTCGAACGCCACACGAAGACCTTGAGGCAGATGGGTGAACCTACCGGTCAATGGAGCAGCATTCTTGAGCATCTGCTCTGTACTCGGCTACATGACGACACTCTCAAGGCGTGAGAGGTGCACGCATCGACCGTGGAGAATCCGGACTATCCGTGCCTGATCGACTTTCTGCAGCGACGAGTACGTGTGCTGGAATCTATTTCAGTCAACCACCATGCTCCTCCATCCGTTCCAAGTTCGTCGCATCATGGGGCAAAACGACAGCAGCAATTTCGGCTTACTTCGTTTGCTTCTACTACCAAAGCGGGGGTCAAATGACCAGTGTGCTCGCAAGAGCATTACATCAGCAGGAGCCAAAAGTTCCTTGGTCTCTCGGTGGCACAACGTCAGCAACTTGCTATGAAGAAGCGACTCTGCCACAACTGTTTGAAAGGAGAAAACATAGCGAAAAATTGTTCGTCCGACATCAACTGCAAACATTGCAATCGACGCCACCACTCTCTTTTGCATGACGGTACTGGTGATGGAACCCAGGGAGCCACTTCTGACGCACCCGTCCCGAGTACATCTGCTGTGGTACAGGCTCACCAAAATCGTCCAACTTCTTCGATGGGGAATCCTATTCAATCTGCGGTCGCAGCCATCGAAAATGTTCCAGATTGTGAAGTCAGCGTTCCGATTCCACATCCCAAGGAGAACGTCTTTCTTCTGACAGCTCTGGTGAGAGTCGTTGATGCCTTTGGTCAGGGTCATCTGGTTCGTGCACTTTTAGACAGCGGATCGCAGCCTGATATCATCAGTGAGCGTATGGCCCGTCAACTACGACTGAAGAAAACAAACGTGGATGTGACTATACAGGGAGCCGGCCAGCTTGAGCAGTCGGTACGTGAGTCCATCGTGGCACAGGTCAAGTCAAGGAATGGAAACTTCGAAGCCGAAATCAAGTTCTTAGTCATGAACAAGGTAACAGCAAATCTTCCGGCGCACGACATCTCCATTGATGATTGGCAGATTCCCGAAGAGTTAGCCCTTGCTGATCCTGGCTTCAACAAGAGCCAGCGCATCGATATGGTTCTCGGGGCAAAACATTTTCAATCCTTCTTCCCCAGCGCCGTTCGCATTCATCTTGGTGAACATCGTCCGCTACTTGTGAAAAGCGTCTTCGGATGGGTGGTAACCGGTTCTGCACTAACACAGCCCAATCAACCACCCACTCCATATTCTGTCTCGTACAGTATCCTGAACGTTTCGACGGTAACGCTAGAGGAGAGTATCGAACGTTTTTAGAAAACGGAGGACCTGTCAATGAAGGACAACTATTCGATTGAGGAGCACTACTGTGAATCACTCTTCAAGTCCACGACGACCCGCACCGCTGAGGGTCGTTACATGGTTCGACTGCCACGAAAACCTGAATTCGAAGCCATGATGGGAGAGTCCCAGATCAACGCCTATCGTCGATACGAAATGCTGGAGCGGAGATTTGAGAGGAGCCCAACACTCAAGGAGGATTACCACAAATTCTTGAAGGAGTACCTGTCCCTCGGCCATATGCGGTTGGTCGAGTCCGACAACGAAGGCAATTCTACAGTATACTATTTGCCCCACCATTCCGTGTTGAAGGAGTCGAGCACAACAACGAAGCTCCGAGTAGTGTTCGACGGCTCGGCTAAAACCTCGACTGGCCACTCGCTCAATGAGGCGCTCTGTGTAGGTCCTTTAGTACAGGATAACGATTCTTTTAAGGTTCCGCACCTTCTTGGTTGCACTTGTCGCGGACATAGCAAAAATGTACAGACAAGTTCTGGTACACCCTGACGACACCCATCTGCAACGCATCCTGTGGCGAGTTTCTGCCAGCACAGTCATCCATGTTTTTGAGCTGCTTACCGTTACTTACGGTCTTGCCCCTTCGTCATTCTTGGCAACCCGTGTGCTTCAGCAGCTAGCTATAGATGAAGGCGATGCATTTCCTCTCGCCGGACCAGCGTTACGAAAAAGCTTCTACGTAGATGATTTCATCCGTGGTGCCAATTCCATAAAAGAAGCGATCAGTCTCCGTGAGCAATTAGAAGATTTGATGCAACGGGGTGGATTCGACTTGCGTAAGTGGACGTCCAGTCGTTTCGAAGTTCTGCAGGGATTGGACAAAGAGCACATCGGCACCCAGTCAACGCTTTGCTTTACCCCCAACGAGTCCATTAAGGCACTAGGAATCGTCTGGGAGCCCGAAAATGATGCCTTTCGATTTGATTCAGCGATCCAGCCACGTGACGCTCCACCTACGAAAAGATCGATACTATCGGATATCGCCAAGCTGTTTGACCCTCTAGGACTGATAGTTCCTGTAGTCGTACGTGCAAAAATCCTTATGCAGGAGTTGTGGTTGCTTTCTTCGGATTGGGACGAACCAGTTCCCGATTCCATTCGCATCAGATGGGAGAGTATTTGCAATGAGTATCCCCTCATCTCATCCTTCCGAGCTGAACGCTACGCTTTTCTTCCAAAATCCCGAGTAGAGCTTCACACCTTCGCGGATGCATCGGAATCGGCGTCGGAATCGGAATCGGAATCGGAATCGGCGTCGAAATCCGTAGTATCACCTCTCAAGCGTCTAACCATCCCTCGCCTGGAGTTGTGCGTCTCTGTCCTTGCAGCGCTCTTATATCACCTTATCAGACAAGCCATCGACATTCCCATTTCTGCAGCGTTCTTCTGGTTCGTTTCTGCTGTCACGCTGCAGTGGCTTCGCTCTCCACCCAACGTTTGGAAAACTATTGTCGCCAACCGTGTGTCTGAGGTGCAGCATTTCACGCATGGATGCCAGTGGAACCATATTTCCGGGGTGGAGAATCCTGCTGACCTAGTGTCCCGAGGTCTTTCCGTTGGAGAATTTCTGCGCAGCGATTTGTGGAAGCGTGGGCCATCATGGTTATCCGAACAGTCGAGTTCCTGGCCAATATCAAGACCACCAAACGTTCCTGAAGAAGCACTTGAGGCAAAGCAACTCGTCGCAATCGTTCATACAACCCCAGAGCCCAGTCCGTTATTCGTCCGCTGGAGTACCTACCGTCGCTTGCTGGACGTGACTGCCTACTGTTTGCGCTTCATCGACAATGCACGTATCAATGCCAGAACCCAACATATTCCCACCACTGAGCCAAGCCAAGAAGCAAACACCGTCGAGCATCTAGCACGAGCCAAATCGTTGCTAATCGGCCTTGCCCAGAGAGATGCGTTTCGGGATGAAATCAAAGCCATTAAAGACAGGAATGTTTTACCCAAACCTCATGCATTCGCCGAATGAATCCTTTCATTGATCCTGAAGGGATATTGAGAGTTGGAGGCTGATTAAACCTTTCGCAACTGCCCTATCAGGCAAAACACCCTGCCCTCCTCCCAGCCAACCACCCACTTTCCAGCCTAATAGCCAAGTACTATCACCTTAACCTTCTTCACGGCGGCGGGCGCCTTCTACTAACAGCCATACGTGAGGAATTTTGGCCACAGCACGGCCCCAGTGTGCGCACAGGGAAGAAAGTGCATACGATGCACTTTAGAAGAGCAGAGATGCCAGTCCGAATTTCACTGATACACACACTTGCAATTTTCGGTTGCACCAAATTAAGAACAAGAGTTCTGCCACACCTTTTATTTAACAACAGAAATATTTAGTTTAGGTTTTAGGTTTATTCACTTCGAGCTACTCATAATGACTGACTGATCTAAACAAATGATGATGGGAGGAAATGATGATCATGACGAAAAAAACCCGAATACAAGTAACCGAAGACATAAGGTTGCCAGTATAACTATATAATTTCGCCTGAACGGGCGAAAATGCGGTGCTGTATGGGCTCGCTACCAAAAACTTCACATTATGTTTCATCAGGCGCTTATAACGCAAAAATAAAGTCAAATTATTTTCATTAACTACATTTTTTTATATTACATGAAAATGTATCTGATGTGTCACTGTTGTCAACTAATAAAATATTTTCAAATTTCAAATTTTCATTTCGTTTACCCCTGGTGTAGATAAATGAATACATTGGTAGCCTTTTTGGCCATAGAGGCACTCTCATCGCTAAGAATTCGGTTCACCAGCTAAGGCTTGTTTCCTCGTGAGTTTCATCTAAGCCTCCCTAGTTGCGTCACGAACATGGTAGTAATTCACAAGTTCCAAGAAAGGGATGATCTTCCCTTTTGCCTTCCTATCCTTACAGGATCAACGGGTTCCAACGTTCCGTTTTGTTTTCTGTTGGGCTCGATTGCTTCCCATAAGTCTTCGACTTCAAGTTGGTTTGGACGGCGAATTTCCAAGTGGTCAAATTTTCTCTACCGACCAAACGCTCGATTCCCGAGATTCACACTATTTATTCGCCATTTCAACCGATTTTTATTCTGTTTTATGTTTGTTCTCCAGGTTATTACACTATTTAATATTCAAACAGCCCAACATGCTTTTCTTCAGCAAGAAATCCCTCCAATATTGATTTGGTCTTAACTGATTCATGTCAACTTTGTACACGAAACGAAAATCAATTATTTAATTCATGTGTTTCACTTATACATTTTTGCCAAAGCATCAGCCTTATACATTCCATAAGACAAACCACATAGGTCCTATTAGAATGCATAAAAGGTATGTGTGACCGCTTATACATTTCATTTGACACATGATCTTTATTAACTTTTTGCAAGGCGTCTGCTCATTAGTTGACTTATACATTTTATGAATAATCAGCAATGGAAATTTGCCAAAAGGTATAAGGAGATTTCTATCCGTGTAGCCAATTGGATTATTTATTTGTCGTCAATCAGTGTACACCGTTTTACGAAAGTTGCTTTAAGTGTTATTTTACAATGCTGACTTCGGTTCTGATCACCTTCCAGCAACTTTTGAAACATCCCAAGAAATAATTTCTAATCCCAACAGCTCTAGTTTCAATTACCATAGAGCTGATTGGGAGCAATATCGAACATTTATGGAACATAACTTTGATCCAAATATTCCTTTGCAATCCAAAGATGATGTTAACTATGCTCTTGAATCTCTGACTACTTCTATAGTTGAAGCAAGAGCTGCCTCAGTGCCAAAATGCGAGGTTAAATTCGATTCAATGATAATAGATGACGATCTTCCGGTCTTGATCCATCTGAAAAATGTCCGTAGTCGGCAATATTAAAGAACACGCAATCCTGCCATGAAAGTTATCTGAAGGGATTCGCTAAAACAAATTATAAAGCGGTTCTTTGCCCTGACAGACCAACAAAACTTTAAAAAATAATATTTCTCAATTGAATCCAAGTTCCATACCCTTTTGAGGCTCACAATATTTTTGAAGAAACCTTAACAGACTATTTCAGGGCTTAAAGAAGGTGGTAACATTTTGGAGGCCAATGCACACGATAAACCAAATCATCTCCCGAAAACTTTACAACAAATTAACAATTTGTCATCCATCCTTGTTCCAGCATCGATCAACTTTCCTGCAATCAAAGGTGATAATCGACCGGATTCAGCACCATTATTTCCACCTCTTTCAATTCAATATTTGTCGCAGCCAACAATCAATCCACAATTTATGATCATCCATAACAACAGCTCAGCGTCACAAAAGGATTCCAACACCCTTTTCAGACCCAACAAAAAACAGGTAATCAAACAGAGAGCAAAACTGTTACGACCCTTTGCGAAAGCTTTTCACACAAAATTGAAAGGGTTTCCCGAACAGGTAGACACGAACGGACGGGCGGACGAAGCCTGTAGGTCCTGGTAGGCCGTGAGAATTTTTCGCCAACTTTTTTCTTCTACGAAAGCGATGAGGCAAGGTGAGTTCAGATCGGCAAAAAAGGATGATTGCGGTCCCACATAAAGCGAAAGCAACCGAAAAGGATTATTTATTTTCCACCCCCGAAACCGACGCGCAATCAATCGCAAAACATTACAACCTTATACAAGATGCTCAAAGAATCGAAAGAATCGAAAAAAAAAAATTGAAAAATGATTCCACAAATCGAGCAGATTCAGCATCGTCACCATCGGATCCCTGAAACCTTTGAACACGCAGCCAAGTCAAGAAACCGTGCGAACTTGGGTCCTGGGTTGATCCTTTTTTTACGTTTTGGGATTGCGTCGCGTCCGGGAATCAATAAAATTGTTTACGTCCCGTCAGGCCTGCTTTGTGTTGCGAAGGGTTCTACTTTTTGGCAACTGATTTCTCTTACCTGTTGGATGCGGTGGGCTCTTTGTGGAAGGTGTCAGAAAATCAGAACCCTTCTTTTTCGGGGATGTTTTTTTTTTATTCTCTCGTTTGTGCCGCGACAGGTTGGAATTACGCCTTTTCCCATAAATTTTGATAATTTCCCCCCGATCGTCGTCGACGTCGGCCTTGGAAAACGGATGGCAACCGCACACAATGGCGAGGGAATGAAATGGGTTGGAAAAAAGTGCGAGGCTTTGAAAATTAAAAAAAGAAAAGATACCGATTCGTTAGTAAATCATTTTTATTGACTCTTTCGGATGAAAAGTGGCCTTTTTTCCTGTTCAAATTGGAAGGTGTTTCCCGAAGGTGTCACTTGGGTAACGGCTTTTCCAGTTCGTTTGAGCAGGCTCAAAATTGGGATCGTTTCGAGAAGTTGTGACCGAAATAGTAAATTTTGATGAAGTAGTCGAGTGAGGAAGCTCGGGGCCCGTAATAATCGTAAAATGTCAGTTTCTCCAAAGAAAACGGTAATAATCGCCCCCCACTTGCAGGGGGAACTCGGTGGGAACAACGACGGGAGACAATCGATTAATTTCTTTGGTGTGATTAGCCAACACTTAGTGGGCCATTCCGACCAATAAGATTTTTATGTCAATCGTTTCATAATAACCAAAACCTATTGCCATCGTAATCATCATCGTCAGCACCATCAGGAAATCATTCCAGCAGGCTCATCCAAGCATCCCGCGCGTTTCTATAGATAGATCGCACTCGCCCATAGTGACCAAAACAAGATTCACTCCTTCCATATATTCCAGCGCCTGCTTGGTCGTCGTCGTCGTCGTCGTCGACGGCGGGAGAACAAACGAGATAATTATTTACGACATGTTATTTAATTTAATAATGTTCCCACATAATTCGATGGCAGCTTGTGCGGACGGTCGGTCAGCTAACAACCTTTACCGATCGAGCTACATCGTTTTCATAGTCCGTTTGTGTTTCAATTCATCAATCCCGTTCCAGCAGCCACCACAACACGAAAGCGAGCGCTCCATACTTGTAACCGAGACGCGGTGCTCTGAAATGGGGAATTTGATGCAAAACTAGACGATTCATTAGAATTTTTATTTGGTATTCCGGTTCTGATTAATGATTCAGAGTGCTGAAACAAGTTAGGAACGAGGGATGTCACAGTTCCGTTATCTGAGATTTAACTTAGTGATACATTGGGAATTGGCTTTTATGGCTTTCCATAACCGATTCATGGTATTATCTGTCAAAAATCACTGTTTATAGATAATCTTATAGTTTCGGTGCGTGTGTTTTTTTTTTGGGCAAGGAGGAAACCTTCAAAAGGCCATCATGCCACCGCCTGACGACCGGGCTCACGGTCGCGGTGACACGGTGTGTGGGATTCTTACCGCACTAAAACCTTCTTAGACGCCTTGCCCTTTTTCCCCCGGAACCACTTGTCGTATTACTTCGGAGGGGGCTGTGCATTACGCACCTCATTTTACCTCAGCTAACTGGCGCTTCCAGTTCGCTGATCGTCTCTCCAATCTGTAAGTCATTTAGCTCCCAGCGTCACTTCGTACTCAGCTAACCCCCGGCGATGGATTACTCCGACGGAGAGTTCTCCCGGCTTCGACTTTCACTTCGCACTTGTTGTGAGCACATTACTACTTTCTAGCTGGTCCTCTCGCCATTTTCGCTGCAACGCTGACGTGATCTACGTTGCTGCTCTGCTGACGGCGTTAAAGGTGCCCCCCTCTCGACACATTTCTTCGGCGACATTTTCCGTGCTAAGGCCGAGCATCTCCTCTCGCACAGCATCAAATCTAGGACATTCGAAGACCACGTGCTTTGGTGATTCTTCCACATTCCCACACTCCGGACAGAAGGGTGACGTTGTGTGTCCGAACCGATGCAGGTACTTCCTGAAGCAACCATGACCAGAAAGTTTACTTCTCCATGCTTCCTGTTCACCCAGGTCCAAAGAATCGGTATTAGTCTGTGTGTCCATCTACCGTTCACTGTTGCATCCCACTCCTGCTGCCCACTCCCACTCCTACTGCCACCATTTTTCGTACTCCTCTGG